TGCTTTCTTCTTCAAGTAGGACACTTGATGAGGTACTTGCCACCTCCTTCTCTCAGAGTTTGAACAAGTAGGAACGCTTTGAGCTGCTTTGTTCACGGCTGCTTGCACACCCGAGGGAAGAGCAGGTTTGATTGAGTGCTTGGTGATTGTAATACTTTGTAGAGGCCTGACACCAGTCCCCTCTGGGGAGGGTATAGCTGTACTGGTGGAAGCAAAAATAGAGAAGTGGACAGAGGGGTGAGAACTTCCACCCTGCAGAGCTGCAATTTGACACTGCCTTGCTGATGAGATCTCCACTTAGTCTTTGCTGCACATGGTTTCCACATGCTGTTCTAAGTGCTCTGAATTTCTTGCCCAAGGGGGCTTGGCCTGCAAACCAAGTCAGTTATGTGTGTACACTGCCCACCTTGCAGAAGTGGTGGACTACTGCAGGTTGGATGCCTGGTTGCTTTTATATTTGAAAAAATTGCTCCATTTGTCTAGGGTGGAGATCTGAAGGATCAGAGTTCAGTTGTTGACAGAGGTCTGTTGAATATACCTTAAACTAATTTTAAACTGAAGTGACTGCAATTACGTCCTGAGACTTGTGAAGAAGGAGACTTGTTGGTACTATTGTGTTGCTGTGTTATTTCTACAGATGTTGGGCTACAGCTAACCACATGCACACAAAAAAAAAGGCACCAGAGGAGTGTGGTCATGTTTACAGGTTGGTTACAAATTAAGCTCACTGGCTGGAAGTTGAGAGATACCTTCAGGAAGATGACTGGTTATTGAGTGGTGCTGGCTCTTGCCTCTGGTGATTGTGAGTGGCAGCAAGAGGCTTGTCTCTGCATGCTTGTGTCTGGAGCAGCTGTGTTGGAACAGTTGTCTGGGGAAGTTATGGACTGCATTGACTTCTTGGCAAATGAAGATGACAGTGAAACATGACAAAGATGATAACCTGATGTCTAGAGCAGAAGAGAGTGGAACATCATTTTTAAAGTCAAAGAGTTATACTGGAAGAACTCCCAAGGGTAGGCAGGACACCAAGACAGTAATAGTGCGTTTTTTATATGCTTCAGGTTCCCTTCCTTGCAAGAGGAAGAAGATTCCAAATTTCCTGTGAAGTTATCCTAGGATAAAATCTTACTTGAGAATTGCAAATAATGCACTTTCACTTAGTCTGAGGTCAAGGGTGTTCTCCTAAGTGCTGAAAAATTTGTCTTAAGTACCCAGTTTAATATTGCCATAGCATCTTAGATAAAAGTATTTCCTTATTACTGTTTGGATTAATTTATTCTATGTGTTGAGCCAGTTGCTTTACTGTGAGTTGTATCAGCTTTTATGCTGTTGTGATGGTAGTATTTAAGCTGAGTAACTTTGGGCTGTTTGATCTTTGTCAGCTTTCCCCTTTAAATTCCTCATTTTGAGCTCCAAAGTGGCATTAAAAATAAACCTTTGTATAGTGGCTTTCTCCTGGATAGGTCTTGGTGGAAAATTAGGGTGTTGTGAAGCATTTAGTTTTGATGGCTGATTAGTGAAACAAAGAACTTTTTTTCAATGACAGAATTGGGGTAGCTTTTTCTCTTGGATTATTTTGTCTACGTGTCGAGCCTAGCCTGTCTCTTCGAGGTCAGACTACAAGGCTGGGGAGGATTGGAGAAAACCCTTGCTCTGGAGCTTATACAGGCAACCCTTCTCAAAACTTGGAGGAGCTCCAAACACAGGACCTGTGCCACTGAGTTATTGATTTTGAGTTCTGCATGACTGTTCTTCTGTGGGAAGAGGTTGTCCTCAACATCCCCATCCAAAGTTGTTTATGTGTTGTAACATTGGCTACCCAAAAAGTCCAGGAGTGGACCACTGAGGCTGAGAACTGTGGCTTGGTGTTTTTCAAAGCTTATGTGGGGAGCATCTGCCCAGATGATTGCAGACTTGATGGGATGCAGCAGCCATGTGCTTCATTGTCTGGCAGGTTAGTTTTTTTGTCAGCGTGGGTCTTGTTTTTCTCAGGTGGTGTTTTTTCCACTTCCTTCTTTTGGGAAGAGGGGAGTCAACAGACTTCCTAACATGTGTAGGATAGCTTTTGGTTTTTTTTAGGAAAGTGCTACTTAAACACCTGTTAGCTGGTAGATGCAAGCCACATTGACCTTTCCTCTTGGCTTCCTATTACTGTTTTCCCCAGGATTCAAAGATGTTTCTGGCTCTTTTTCCCCATATGCATTTGATAGCAGTGCCATAATGTACAGTGGATCTTCTTTAGACTACAGTCCTCAAGGTTGTGACACAAATTTGTTCTTCTGTAGTGCACCATGATTTTTATCCTATGCCTTCCTTCATGTGTTTAGTAAGCAAGGAAAGTGGAGAGAAATTTATTTACGTAAGTTTGCTTTAAAGATTGTTTCTGTGCTTGTAGGCAGAGACTTATAAACTCCATAATGAAAACCACATAGAAGGCAGACCTGAAACTTTGAATGCTTATTTCTCATGGCAGTATGGCCAGCTAATTGTTTCTGGATGTGTTAGGACATGCCTCTGTGTGATGTTAATAAAAAATGGCTATTCTGTGGTAACTAGCACTCATTCACACCCTTCTGTAATCTGAATTTTCAAGTTTAAGCAAGTTCTAAATTTCCATTTTAAAAGCTTAGACTTTCTTCACTATCTATCCAGTGTAACAGAAGAGTCCCCTTTTGAACATGTGTGCAGCCTCTGGAGTCCAGAACAAACTGCCCAGCTAACTTGAAGGGTTTCAGCTAGAACGTGGTAGCAGTTTAATACCAGTTCCCTGTCCCTTCTCCAGTAGCTCCATGCTGGAGAGGTGTCCAGTGAAATGCTTCCCTACTATGTGAAAATCCATCCACTGGATAGTTAGACGCTGCTGTGTGTAAGACTGTCTCCCTTAAGTGGAGTGTCTGCAGCAAAGAGCAAGACCAGCCTGTGCTAGAGGGCAGGGCAGGGGCCAGTATTCAAAGCTGCAGACAGGGAGACCTGAATGAAAGCATCTGCTGTGCTTGTACAGTTGTGGAAGTGGCTCTGGTTTTGTGCCTGTGCTGCCGTGGGTGAGAGGGCCATGACGTGAACCATTTTTGGTTGAGGATGGGAAAGTTCAGAGTGCTTCTTTCAGATTTGGTGCTAAATTGACCAAGTGAGAAACTGTAGCAAAAAACACAACACTTCTTTCTAGTTTGGAACTTTCTTTTAGAAAGGAAAATGGTATTAAGAGTACTGATTGGAGGGGGTGTTCACAGTCTTAGAATTGAAAATCAAATCCCTCCTGAGGTGACTTGAAACACAACGGTGGGAGTTTTGTGTGTCCTTGAGATGGTTTAGATTGGGGTAGGGGTCACAAGCAGTAATCTGGCACAGCACTAACTCAAAGCTTGAGGTGCTGTGTGTGCAGCAGCAGCCAAGGCTTCCTTGCTGCTCTGGGAATGAGGTTTTGCTGACAAGGAGGGAGCTTAGTGTACGAACATGAGCAATCCCTTCTGGCTGAGGGCAGCATTTGCCTGGCAGTTGGTTGCGGTGAGTCCGTTGGTTTACTGAACCAGTTTTGGTGCCCGTCAGCCAGTAGGGATGTGAACTGGCTGCCTGGAATGGAGGGACCTGCGCTCTGGTGACTCCTGCACAACCAGTGTGGGAAGCTGGGACGCGTGTGGCAATGCTTGTAGGGTTAGGGAAGCTTAGGCCCTCAGAGCTGAATCCAGACGCTGTGCTTGGTGGTGGTGAGATGGGGCCGAGGTAACGAACTGAACAGCCTGCTGCGCAAAGCGTGCTTTCGTTGCCAGGCTGGGGTTCTTGTGTGCATCTCATCTGCTGTCAGGTTCTTGTGTGCATCTCATCTGCTGTCAGCTCCACTTTGCCTTATTAAGACCTTTGTGGAGGCCTTATTTGCTCAAACAGAAGGTATTTATTTGCTGCCCCAGTGCTTCCAATTAGCGAACTTGTGCCTCCTTCCAGCTTCCTTCCAGTTGTTTATTGAACCAGGTGTCCGCTGCACAACCTCTTCCCTTACTCTGAGCTTGACCTGCTTTCCTCATGTTGGTGGAAAAAGTAGGGCAGATTTCTAGCTTTGGGTATTATTAGCCAGGAAACAAAAAGACACCCTGGGTTTTTATCACCCACTTCCTAAAAGACCTAACCTGTGATGAGGGAGTGCTTCAGGAAGCACTGTGGTGATGCCAGGAACTCTGGTCTGTGGGAAGGTGGAGGATAGCTCTTAGTCTGTTCCCTGGCTGCCTGGAGGGATTAATTTGGCTGCAGTTGGAGGGACAAAAAGAATCCCTAATGAAGGGGACAGGAGAGTTCCTAGGGTTCAAGTACATAAACAAACTCCAAACATAAAGATTTTTTTTTTTTTTTCATAAGCCACACACTTCTGAGGTGATGCTGTGCCTCAGACTGGCAGCCAAGTTCGGCGTGACCTTCCGTGTGTGTGGCCTTGGTTGTCAGCACTGCATTTAGAGTGTGCCAATGAGTGCTGTTTCCTGGACATGTGTAGTTGGGATGTACCAGAATTCAGCCTGGAAACAGCTTGAGCACCTAGGTTTTGAAAACTGATCATTTTACATTCCTGGAGCCCTGTGTTAGTGCTTTATCTTGCTGACCAGCTGATGACATTGATTGCTGAAGGCCGACAGTCAAAACAGGATCCAGATCTCTTCCTGCTTTCACTTAAAGTAGATAGGTTTTCCTGGTGAGCTGCTTGAGGATTTTGTCTCCACCTTTTCGGGTGGATGGTGGCAGTTGCAATAATACTGATTATTAATCAGCTATACTTTAAGCCGCAAATGTACTGTCTGTCACTAAAACTTCCAGGGAACTGATGGGCAACTGTATTGTAAGGTTTTTGTCCTGACCTACCTTGTTTGATTCCTTAAAATAGACCAGTGCTGCTTGTATCTGACTTACACAGCTTTGCAGCTGTATGTGAATAACCTATTTTGTGACATGCTTTCAATCTTTTTTTTTCCTCCAGTCTTAATTTAACCTATAATACTGTTCTTTTTCATTTCTTTCAGAATGGACTGCTGAATTGGGATTTATTGCAGACTCAACTGTACAGCACTGCTCATTGCTTCATCTATTACTAGTTATTTAAATTGGACTTTTAATATCCTGCCAGCTGCTGTCCACACACACATGGTGCATTGTTGCCATTCTCAGAATTGCATCTTTGAAACCCAGGCCCTCAGTAACCTTCAGAGAAGAAAGAGGCGACCTCCTGCGTACATTTGTAGAGGGAGTTTTTGGCCCTGCTGCCCTCTGGCTTTCTGGCTGCTGCTGTATTCCTGAGACACTATGGAGCCCACTATGGAGTACTGCTTAGCGCAGGTGCTGCAGAAGGATGTTGGAAAAAGACTTCAGGTTGGCCAGGAATTGATAGATTATTTCTCAGATAAACAGAAGTCAGCTGATCTTGAACATGATCAGACTATGCTGGATAAAATGGTTGATGGACTGGCCACTTCTTGGGTAAATTCCAGCAATTACAAGGTAAGTCTTTGTCATGTGGAATGTGATTACTGTCAGAAGTGTCAATGTCAAATGCTATTTGATCTAAGTGAAAGCTGTATAGTAGACATTCTATGATACTGTTCTGTAAGCTGGTAATTAGACTGAATCAGAGATTGTTGTTCCATATTTTGGTAGTTGAGAGCTGCTGTGATATCAAGGACTCAAGGCAATAAGAATTCAGTGAATGGTGTTTTAAGCACAAGTGGATTTACATTTGGTGTTCATAGTTTGTGATATCCTGGTTTCTTTGTGTACTTTGTTAGCTGGTGGCATGCTTTGATCATCCCAATAGTTTAGCAGTGTTCATGATTTCCTGCCATACTACAAGGTTTATGAAACTGGAAAAAGCATATATAAACTGCATTTGTTTTCACTGTCATTAAATCCTGCGAGACTTTTGCTGTTTTCTGTGGGCAACATAGTAGATGAATTGTACTTAGCTCAAGGAAGATAATGTATGTATGTGTCTACTTTTGAATTAGATAATGTTGAGATGAGTTGTAGGACATGGCGCTCCACTGCCGTGTTATCTCTGCCATGTTACTTCATTTCCCTTCAGGTTTAATAAGGAAGTCCTACCACAGCCAGGTACTGTGGGAGTGGGGAGGGATTCTCAGCTGCGACTTGGAAAACTCTTGTCCTGGTCTGTTCATGAGGCTCTCTGAAAAGTCTAATATAAAGTACTGAAGCTATTGCATGGGATGTAATAATGTTCCTTTTTGATAAGTGGTGGAGAATCTCAGAGTGAAAGTTCCTACAGAGCTGGGCCTAAAGATGGGGGCTGTGCTGGAGGTCACACCTGTAGAAGTGAAGGAAGGACTGGCTGTACAGGTTGTAAGTGCTCTGGAGCTCAACGTACTCAGTTAAAATTATTTTTAACAGAAGTTTTGACTGGGAGGTAGTTTTGACATTGCTGAGTGTTCTGCACAACTGCATTTCTTTCTTTTCATTTTTGTCAACAAGCAGCTGTTGTAGAAGCTGTTTGGCATGTAGGGAGAAAAACCCCCAAACACTAAAAACACTCTCACCAAACCACCAAAGCTAATATGGTCTCAACAGAGAATCCATTCTGGTGGAACACATGAAGAAATACTTAGCTTGCTGTTGTGAACAAGCAGTGTACATATAATTTTCTGAGGTATTACATATTCTTATTGCCCCTTTTCTTACTAACTGGCTTTCTCTTACAAATATCCATGATTCTCAGTGGAAGAGTAATGCAAGCACAGTAAAATTGAAATTATTACAAAATGTGCTATTTGCATGGATTTCATGAAGTGATGTGGATCACAGAGCTGTGCAGTGCTTTGCAATCCCAGTATCACACTTAGTTTGCTGAATTTCTATTCAGATAACTTGTTTGTCTTTCCAATCTTTTGTCTGTTGAACTACATGCTTAAAATGATCTGTGGTGTTCATTTTCCACTAACAAACTGGTGGCACTTCTGTACTGCAGTGACTCTGTTCCAGAACTCATGCTGCTGAGCTGGCTGTTCATTAATGTGTGTGTTCTATAGATAGCATTTGCTGTGATTAATAAGTTCTAGTAAGCATAACAGAGACATGTCTCAGATGTCTGGAGGGTGTTTTCTCAGTGAATGAGGATAATAGGAGATTTGAAGCCTTTGAGTGGGGCAAGCTGGCTGTGTGAAGGTCAGTGATGTGGAGAAGTCTGCTTCAGGATCCAGCTGAGGCTTAGTGCTCCCTCTTATGCCAATCTCTTCCTTCTGTTTTAATGCCTGCATCTGCACTACTGTTGCCTTTTTTCCTGACTGCTTGTGGGATAGGGGTTCAGAAGCTCAGCTTTGTCTGGTGTGAGAGCACAGGGGAGCTGGTGTCATCTGATCCAGTTCATGGATTAGTGTGTCAACTTTAGGAGTGAAAGGGCAAGCATCAATGCCCTAGGATAGACATCTGGAGAGCTAAACTGCAATGGAAGAAGCTGAATATTTGTAGTCTGTTTCTCTTCTCACCTCAGTCTCTTCATTTGAAAAAGTATCAGCTTAAAACAAAAATTAAGATCATCTGCATGATTTGAAATTTCCTAGCACTTCACCAATGAAGTGTGTGTTCTCAGAATAAGACTTGAGTGTGGATAACAAGAGGCATTACACTGGGACAGCATCCAGTGGATTCATGGCTCCTGCCTGTCTAGGACTCCTCTAACTAAACACTTGTGCTTATCAGTGAACCAGAGAAGAGGCATCTGTAGGGCAAACCAGTTTAGTTTGGGTTAAAAGGAGCTTGAACTGATGATGAAGTTGCACCTTTACCGGAAGGGCTCAAGCTATCTCCGTCATTGGCATCCACGTCTGATCTGTGTACGTCATGGCCATCATTGACCTTTTTAGGCTTTGCTGGTTTTCTGTACATTGTTTCTGTTTTTTCATGACACTACTTTGTGAAGTCCTTGACCTCAGCACAATGACTGCAGAGTCTTCTTTTTCAAGAGATTCAGGGAAAAAAATAGAATGATGGAGGGCAGAGATGCTTTTCTTTGGTTGGTGCTGTCTCTTAAAGTCTGTTAAAAACAGCATGTATAAAACATAGTGAGGCCTAACATACTTCTCATAGCACTCAGTACTCCAAAACTCCTTAACAAATCGTCTTGTGACCTGATCACTGGTCCCTGCTTTGTAACAGACAGATGCCTTAGGTGCAGAAGGCAGTTGGATAGTTCAGGATGCTTTTCAAGTCAAGGAAACATAAAGGTGATTGTAAGAAACAAGGCACTGAAGTCCAGTGCAAAGCCATTTGCATGTTTGTGCTTCCTAGGAGCGTGCTCGAACTGCGCGCCATTGCAGGCTTGAGTTTTCTCAGCAGTATTAGAGGTGTGTAGAAGACATAGGAATGGTGCAGAATCATAAGATGAATTCTCTTTGGGAGCTCTTACTCCTCCTTGGAGCACAGTTGCTTACAGCAGACAACCTGTGTTTGTGTGAGCACTAGGAGTTGTGGATTACACCAGTGAGGTTGGGCTGGGAAGGTATTGCAGGATGCTTTAGGCCAAAGAGGAATTCTGCCTCTGGTCTGTTTCTTCATTTGTGCTTTGTTTGCTTCATCTGTGCTGTTTCAGGATGGTGGTTCTGCTTGACTCCTTCTCTTCCCCTGCTAAGCATAAAAGAGAGTTATTTTGCTGAGCTTTGAATCTCTGAACAATAACTAAGGTCTGCACAGAGGTGTCTGTCTTAAAACATGAGGCAAAACAGCACAGCCGTGTCAGAGGCTTCAGCATGTCCTCTCAGGTTCCACAATGCTATGGCAAGGGGAGAGAGCTGGAATGGTCACTAATCCCCTGGTGAGCCATCTCGCTTTGAGCTGCTTCTGCAGCATTTGGTAATGCGGATGTTAAGTGTGCAGGATCTCCTGGCTCATCTGCGGCTGGTGAGCCTTTCTCAGTACCCAAACCGTGATGTAAATAAAGGTGTAATGTAAAGCAATATGTCCAGGGTCTTAAAGTAGTTTTCAACCAGCTTGCTATTCCAAGAGGTGAGCTGAGATTGTTTGGCAGTGACCTTCTCTTGCCTGCTTTCCCTCAACAGTATTGGGAGACGAGGTCTCTTGAACCTTTTTCCCCTGAGATGTGTTGCCTTTGCTGATGGAGTTGAGGTTTCCAGTGGAAATAGCTCTTGTTATTGCAGGGTTTTTTTAGACAAACATCCAGGAGGGAGATTGGTGGTAACAGAGCCTCCAAGAGGTCGGGGTCCAACATACTGAAGAGAGATTCTGTTCAGTGTTTTCACTTGTTGCCGAGTGGTGGGAGAGGCCAGCTTGAAGTGAAACTGGATGGAGGTTTGCAGAAAGGAATTGGATGCAGCTTTGTATTTTTTTCATGCACTTTCACAAGCAGTGATTTTTTGGCACTGCACTGCTCTCACTGGACAGGGCTTGCTTTCCAAGGAAGAATATCTCACCTTGCAAGGAAGAATGGCTCACCTTTGTCCCGGTGCAGCCCGGTCTATGTGAGGCTCTGTGCCCAGCAGCCTGTAGGACTGGGTTTTGCCTCTGAGAGGTGAGTTAGGAGCTGACATGGTTAACAGACCCCCGGGTCTGAGGACACATCCACAGCCTCCTGCTGTGCTGGTAGACTCAGTCTGTGGGCGAGGCTGTGTCCTGAGCTTTGTTTGTGTTCGTGTATGCAGCACTTCGGATTTGATTTGTTTAGTTCCCTGCAGATTTTGGTACTGAGAGAGACATCATTCTCTTTAAAGTAAAATGGAAGATGTTAACGAGCATTTTTTTGCTACGGTGAAATATTGCACAGATATTTTATTTCCCCTGACAAAATTCCTAATAGCGTTAGAGAAAGCAACCTTCCATTCTGATCTGTTTCTGAATATCAAGCATTACAAGAGCATGTTTCACTGAGCTGAAGAGAAATAAAACTTACATAAATTAGCTGGCTTTCTTAAACTGTGTATCGAATAATTTTTTTTGCTTGCTAATTGAGGGGTAGAACAGATGGCACAGGCTTAGTTTCAAGTGACATCCATTAGAGTTACTTAAGCTGATGAATGGTTGTTCACTATAAGCATACATTTGTTCTCTATACCGTGTTTATTTTGGTTGAAATTCGGTAGAAGAAATCCTGATTTAAGACATAATTATCATGCATGGTTATGGGTTGATATGATAATTTGGTGAGTATGTTTTGTTGAGTATTTAATGCATGGAGGGAAAGGATTTCACCATCTGTGGAAGAAAAAGAGACTTGTAAAGGGTTTCCAAGCAGCTGCTGTTAGCTGCTGAGTTTTGAGCTGCTGGGAGTGCATGAAGATCAGTAATGTATGTATTCATCTACCATTTTCATCCCTCTTTACCATGAAGCTGAAATTGCTAATAAAGATGAATTCAATTAGTTTTGATGTACAAGAGACAAGAGAAAGGGACTGTGGAGGAAAAGTGATCTTGAGATCCAGACTTGAGAGTACAGCCCATTCCTTGCATATGCCCATATTGCAAAAGGGACCATGGCAGAA